AGACTGTCCCAAAACTAGCTCTTGTAGACCAGGCTGGCCTCAAACTCACAGAGATCCGTCTGCCTCTGCCTCCTGAGTTCTGGCACTTAAGGCATGTGCCACCACCATCTGGCAATACCACGGACTTTTGGGTATAAAAATTTACTTAATTATAGAAATAATATATTCCCCCACCCCTCAGCTATTATGGAACTCCCTGTGTAGCTCAGACTGGCCTTGAATGCACAAAGAAAGATCCACCTGCCTCTGTTTCCTGAGTGTTGGCATTAAAGGTGTGTGGCACCGTGAACAGTCTTATTAGTCTAAAGGTATAAAACAATAGTTTTGGGGCTGAGGAAATAGCCCAGTTGAGAAAGTGTTTGCTATTTGTGTTGGTTTGAACAAGAGATGTCTTGCATAGGCTAATGTATGTGAACGCTTGGTCCCCTGTTGCTGTTGCTGTTCTGGGACATTATGGAACTCTTAAGACATGGAGCCTTGCTAGAGAAAGTACATCACTGAAGGTGTAACCTTGCCCTACTTTTTGTTCCCCACTCTTACATCTGCGAGTGGTTGGAGATGAGGTCTCTTAGCTTTCTGCTCCATTCCGGCTGCCTGGTGCCCGGTCACCCTTGCCTAGATCACCCCTGAGGACCTGTAAGCTGACATAAACTCTTCCTTCTACAAGCCACTATCGAACTACAGCAACAAAACATAAATAACACACCGTGGAGCCATGAGGACTTGAGTATGATCCTCAGAACCTGCAGCGAAATCTGGGCACAGTGGTGCGTTTTTGTAATGTCAAGGCTGTGGGGATGGACACATAGAGCTCCCTGGAGCTCCCTGGCCACCCAGTCTAGGTTCAATTGGTGAGAGAACCCATCTAAAAAAAGGTTGTTCACCTTCCTAGACATGGACGGAGGGGGGAGGACCTTGGACTTTCCACAGGGCAGGGAACCCTGACTGCTCTTTGGACTGGAAAGGAAAGGGGAGAGGAGTGGGGGGAGGGGGAGAAGGGTGGGAGGAGGGGGAGGGAAATGGGAGGCTGGGAGGAGGTGGACACTTTCTTTTCTTTTTCTCAATAAAAAATTAAAAAAAAAGAACAACTGGAAAGAAAAAAATATAAATAAATGAATAAGTAAAAAAATAAAATAAAAATAAAAAAAGGTTGTTGGTGCTTGAGAAGCAATACCCAGTGTTGGACTCCGGCTTCCACATGCACACACACACACACACACACACACACACACACACACACTGTGATGGTTTGAATAAAAATGCCCTCCTTAGATTTATACTTGAATGCTGAGGGAGTGGCATTAGGAGGTGTGGCCTTGTTGGAGTAAGTGTCTCACTGGGGGGTGACTTTGGGATTTCAGATGCCCAAGCCAACCCAGTGTCACTTTCTCTTCCTGCTGACTGTTTCTGGATGTAGAATTGTGTGCTCCTTCTCCAGCACCGTGTCTGCCTGCATATTGACATGCTTCCTGCTGTGACAATAATGGACCAAACCTCTGAACAGTAAACCGGCCCCAGTTAAATGATTTTCTTAATAGGAGTTGCCATGGTCATGGTGTCTCTTCACAGCCATAGAACACGGACAAAGTGTGCACTCCACTTGCACACACACACACAATCAACAATTCACATATCAAAAAATTAAAGACCTAAAGGATGATAACACAACTGTAATAAATAACGTTTTGAGAATTTCCAAACAGTCTTTACTCTTGGCTGGAGAATGAAGGACTCGGGCATCCAGAAGCAGCCTCCCCTCTAGGTTCTGGATCAGTTAATGTTGTGCTCATTTTCCTGGTGAATCTATTTCTATCCAACTCTGACATAGAGAGCAGTGACAGATGAAAGAAATCATTGTATTCACGTCTTTCTTGAACCAATGAGCTCATTGGTGTTACTTACAGGAACTTGTAGGTGACCCAACTGGAGTCACATTACCAAAAAGCCCACCCCAGTGTAGGTGAGGACCCACAAAGAGTGTACCTCTGGGCCTCCCTGTGCAGCCTCTGTCCACAGAGTCTTTTCCCCCAAGCCCATTATTTTCTGCTTGTAGAACCTCAGGGAAGAGCTTCATGAGTCTTGTAATTTTTTGTTAGCTTCATGAGCCTTCCTTACCCCTTCACAAGGGAGGATTTTAATCTGGAGGGAATCATTTTGGTAGTGGATAAATAAAAATAAGGCAGAAGATTTGTAAAAATTACTTTTATTTTTGGGATGGAAAATCTTGGCCTGCCATATGCCACAAGTTGAATAAGACTGAATGGGCCTCACCTTGAAGGAAAACACAAGTGTTTGAAAGCCAGGACAACTCCCAAGGGTGGCCTGAGCCAAGTATACCTATTTATTCTTTCCAAAGTTAGCAACTAGCTAACTGACTCCCTGTCTTGAGGATCAGTAGGGAGGAAAGGGAAGAAGGGAAACTGAGTGGGGACCTTGGAGAAAAACCCTCTTAATGGCAAAAGAAAGTGGGCATTTCTTTTTTTAAAAAAATAACGGAATATAGTATCTTTGAAGTCAATAAAGAGAATAAGGCAAGAGTTGCTATGGAGTGTGGTTCCTGGGGTTTCAAATGTGGTTCCAGCAGTGTCAGCGTGGCAGGGCTGAGACTGCTGCCCATAGGAAGCTCTGCTGGCTGCATGGTCTCTGGGAGGATTCCAGGCACATTTGTTCCCATCACGGGCAGAAGTGATGAAAGTTGCTCACTGTGTCTAAACTGTGGCAACAGTATCCACTATACTCCTTGTGGTCTAGAGTTTCCGTGTGTGTTAAACAGAGACGGCCTGCATGGCCATTCCCAGGTGAAAACTCTGGGGTGTGAGTGTGTTGACTTTCTTTAGTTCATTCCTGCTCACACACGGTGCCCCATGAGCATCCACAAGATCTTTTGATGCCCTTTGTCCACAGGAGATTCTTCTGCTGATTTCACTGTGTGCCATTTTGTTGGGGTAACTCTCAGCTGTGGCTGCTGAGATCAAAGAATCTCCATATAGGATCACTGAGCTGACAGTGGTCTTGGGGACCTTTGACGCCTGGGTAGCATTGTGTAGTAACTGAGTGTGCAGTCCACAGCTTCCAGCTCTGTTCCCTCCCATGTCCACCTCTGGACCCGATGCCCATCCTTTCCGAGATGAAGGACGCTGGTGTCTTCTGTAAGAGCTATTGCAAAGGTGGAGACTTGACGCTAGAAGGTGAAGCAAGTTCCCTTGACTGTCCCTCAGACAGTCACTTGATTGAATTTCAGCTCAGCCTCCTGAGTGTTGGGAGAGACGCTCCACCATAGAATTACGTCTGCACGGTGTCCTCACGTGAAGACACCAAAGGCCTGGGTGTGATAACTCTATCTGCACAGGTGTCCCATATACAAACAACTCAATGCCAGCCTTCACACCCACTGTTACTTTACTCAGACATCATATATGGAAGAGATCTCACTAAATTTAGAGTAAAGAATGTGACCCACGAATTCTCATCTCTACACAGAATGAAAGAGAAGTGAGAACCAAAGTGTGGTCTCAGGAGCCCAAGGTCAAATTCACACAAGAGATTTATTTGCCCCAGAGGGACAGAGGGCAGGGAATTAGAGACAAAGACAGGAGATAGGGGATGAGGGAGAAGGGGAAGGGAGCCAGGCAGGGGTATTTATCCCAGGGTGGGATGGGGACAAAGGACTACCTCCAGATAGAAAGGAGACAGACTTGACCCAATGGAGGTTTCAAGGTAAAATGTGAAACCTCGTGTTACGATGAGGTGTTTGATTTTAATTGGCCATCATAATTAGGAGAGTCAACGGGGCTTTTGATTTGCAGGGCTTCAGAGCTTTGATAGCTGGACCTTGGTAGTCAGCCTCAGGATTTGGTGGCTGGCTTTAGGAATGTTAATCTAATGGGCAGGGGAAATGGGGGAGAAAGGCAAGGCCTGACAGAGGCACGCTCCAGCTGGCCAGAGTCCTTCAAGAAGTGAAAAGATCAACTTTCGAGGGGAGCAGGCATGGCTCTTTTGTGCTACAGTATTTTAGGGCCCCATGTGGTGCCTGGCATGAAGTAGATGCTTGGAAATTATTTAATTATTTGAATGAAGAACCAAAGAGATAAGTCATGAAATTCAGCCCCAAGGCTGGACTGTTTCCTGGGTAGGGGATCTTGGGCTGTTTAAGAAAGAGAACCCTGCAGTATGCAGGATTCATTCCTATCTTTTTTGCACTGTGGACATAAGGAGACCAGATGCTTCAAGCTCCTGATGCCTGCTTCCCCACCATGCAATGTGTCCAACCTTGAACTGTGGGCTACCATAAACACTTTTCTCTTAAGTTGTAGACTATTTTATCCCTGTAGGAGAAGAAAACCGACTTACAAATCTATCTTCAATGCTTTTAAAGTTTAGCAATATAGAAGAAAAAAAAATGTGGCCAGTGTGGAAAGATGCTTAAAAGAAATCCCACACTAGCTCAGATTTGAGAAATAGATGGTTATTTATTTAGGGGTAAACTCACAAATCAGAATACTCTGCTTGAATGGAAAACAGAAACCGAATCCAACAACCAGAAAGAGCGGCTGGAAAAGAGGGTGGATGCAGGCTCTGCATCAGAATATGTAGTATAAGAGGCCACGCCCCAGTAGGCGGGTCATGCCCCAGTAGGGGGGTAATGGCAAGCTGTAAGACTTCCTACAGCGGGCCAGTATGTGTGATTTTCATCAGCCTGGAATTTGTTAGAATTTGTTAATCATTACAATTTTTTTAAAGCTAGCAGATGTTCCTAGTTGTGGGTTTCTTTGGGTTTGCTTCTTCAGAAATGGAGGAAATTGTTTTAATCCATGATCTTAAGGCTTTAACTTTTTTAAAAAAAAATAATTGTTTAATTATGTGTTTGATATTTTTGATTATTTTGGTTACTTCTCAAAGGAAAATATAATTCTCAAGCTGATCTCTCTGTCCTCATTGATTTATTATTTTTTTCTTTGTCACCTGAAGCTGCTCTCAGGTTTTTTTCTCTTCTTTCTCAGGTTCTCAAGTATTTCTAGTGTTGGCTCTGATCTCGTCTTTATCCAGGATGAATGTGAGTGCTATTGAATATTTGCTTTCTCTGTCCTCTTCCTTGCCACTTAACTTCAAGATGCTATTTCTCATTGTCTCATGTCGTCCCCAGTGCACTGTCAGTTTGACCTTGAGGAGAGAATGCACACGACTTTCGCCATGTTAGTTTTATATGTTTATTATTTTGGGCTATACTAAACCTCTGATTACTTCTAACACTGGAAACTTCTCGAGAAGATGACATCATCAAGTCTCTTCCTGCTGGCGCTAACCCTGCCAGCAAGGAAACAGGATGAACATGCATTTGTGAAATGCTGGTCTGCAGGGTTAGCAAACTATTAATCTGTCTAAATGATGCATGTGCTTCATCAGAGCCTAATCCTAGAAATATCTGTGTTTGGAGAGAATAATGGAACCGCCACGGTGTTTATCTGCTATTTATCTAGACAGTTTGAATCAAATAAGTTGATTTTCTCCAATGCATAAGGTTTGGGCTGTCAGAAACCGGCACAGATCAGGTGTAGAGGCCTGAGCCTTCTGTGATACTCACACATGGGTGCTGAGGTCTGAAGAAACACAAGACAGCAGCAGGCTGGACAGGTGATGGTAACTTGAGCAGGTTATAGGACTCAAGATGCTTGCCCTGTTTGCAGGGTCAGGCAAGGCCCAACGGGCTCAGCAGATAGTCATCATTCTGACAAGATGAGGCGGAGGGGCAGGCAGTCTCCCAAATTCCAAGGGTCTTGAAATCTTCAACTTTGCTTTCAACAGATACACTGTTCTCTCTGCATGGCCCCTGGTGGATACAAATTGCTCCTGCATCCTCTCTGCATGGCCCCAGGTAGATACAAAATTGCCCAGGGTGTGGTCTCTACCCTGCCTTTGAGAATGTTGCACTTCTATTATGTTATTGTACAAGCTGCGCCCTCAGCCCTAGTGGTGTCTGCCTGAGTCCCCTGTACTAAAAGCCTCGGGTGCTGTCCCTCTGCTTTCCAGCATTTCCAGAATTCTGTTGCATAGTAACATGGTACATCAACAATTTTTCATTGTCTCCATACTTAAACTTTTAGGCAGGAAAAGTTGAAAAATGAGAAAATGTGAGACAAAGGAAAAGATATATTTAAAATTATACCAATCAGAAACAATCTTGCTAGCACTGTAGCTTATGAAATATTTCTTTTAAAATAACTACTTACTTCATTTTTTCAGTGTGAATAGTTTTACATTATGTCATCTGTCATTTTCTTGTTATGAAATATATTCAATCAAACTATAACTAAGAGAATGACTGAAATGGAGAATACAAACTATTACTTTCTGTAGTAAGTAAAGCAGTGGGCTGCATTCCAGCTTCCCAGGCTCCCGCATGGTTAGCGTTACACCTGAAATAATTACAAGGAAACTGTATTCTTTTAAACACTGCCTGGCCCATTATTTCCAGCCTCTTATTGGCTAATTCTCACATCTCGATTAACCCATTTCTAATAATCTGTGTAATACCACGAGATGGTGTCTTACCAGGAAGGATTCTAGCCTACATCCATCTGGGGTTGGGGAATCATGGTGACTGCCTGACTCGGCTTCTTTCTCCCAGCATTCTGTCTGTCTACTCCGCCTACCTAATTTCTGTCCTATTAAGGGGCCAAGGCAGTTTCTTTATATAATCAATGAAATTAACACAAAACAGAAGACTCTCCCCCATCAACTGTCTACAGAGGATATGTAAATGCCATATTTGATATTTTATGTGTGTGTGGTATGTATATATGTGTATGTATTTGTGTATATGTATGTGTGTATATGTATGTATGTGTGTGTTTTCACATGACTGGAGTACCCACAAAAGCAAGAAGGGGGTACCAGATCCCATGGAGCAGAAGTTACAGGTGGCTATAAGCTCCCCACTTTAGCTGGAAGGAACAGAACTTAGGTTCTGTGTAAGAATAGCAGTCACTCCTTGCTGCTGAGATATTTCTCCAGCCCCCTGATAAGAGTCTTGAAGTGAGAAAACAGACCAGTGCCTAAAAGAGAGGATCAGTTGATGTCTGATTGGCAGCAAGATGGGTAGTCTTTTTTTTTAAGGGGTATTAAGCCTGAGGAGTGGAGATCCTCAAGCAGGACAAATGAGGGAGGAAGATTGGTAGTTATGGTTGGACCTAAGACAATATGGCTGGCTTGCTGGGACCATTGGAGTCAGTTTCTGCTTTAGTGCCAAGATCTAAACTGAATCCAGAGAAAAGACAGAGGCAGCTGGTGCGGTCCAGTGGGCTCTAGGAAGGAGGGAAGGGGTGTGCCCGGTAGAGGTGGGAATGCCCTGGAGATGTGAGTGGGGCCCTGCTGTCAGTGGGGGAACAGGAAAGCACTGTTTTCCTGCATGGGTACCTGAACCAGGCAATGGGCCTGCCCTCACGACCACAGCACAGGGCTCAGGCAAGACAGCACTTTACCCCCACCCAGGCATAGCAAACGTTATGTTAGAAGACTAGATAAAGGTAGCTGGAGCTTCTAAAACATAACCCATCTCCTCCCCACAGAGGGAGAGCACAACTAACTCCAAATGCATATAGAGACTCCCTTCCAGAGAGTACAGCCTGAAAAAAGAAGTGTGGAGACTGGTGGCCAAGATCAAGGAAACAGGGAAAATAGGTCATGCTGATGTATAGGAATCTCTGCTACTATGTAGCAAGGATGTCACTTCCCTGTGTGATCTTATGACCCCTGCCAAAGCAGGCTGTGATTTAAATATGAAACACATTCCACAGGCTCTTGTGGTGAACTCTTAGTCACCAACTGGTGGGATTATTTTGGAAGATGGCGGAAACGTAGAATGTTAAGGCCACTCTAGAGGAGGCTGGTCCTTGGGCATATGTTTTTGAATGTGTTTTGCCCTTGATACTCTCCTGCGTATTTGCTGGGTTGAGCTAACCCCCATCAGACTACTGCTGTAGTAGCTCTGATGACTTAAAGTGAGGACCACTTTTTCAAGATGCCTTGTGTAGGCTGCACACCAGGAGGAGTGCTGTGTCTCCGGGGAGCCACGTCCTTCAGCCATGCATGGCTCTCCCGCCCTTGTGCTCTACTTCATTAGCAGGCCAGAAGCAATGGAGCCAGCCCAAGAGACAGCGAATTGTGTTAAAAAACACCTTTTCTCTTTTTAAATCTTTTCTGTCAGGTACTTGTCAGAGCAATGAAAAAGTGACTAACAAGGAAAACTTAAACCAGAAGCGGGGTCATTGCTGTGACTATTCCCAATGACAGTGTGCTTCTGAAGCCTTTGGAGCTGTTCTCCAAGAATTTGGAACTCTTAGAGACATGGGCTAGAGATGACCTCGTGTGTTCTGAAGGACCCAGAAGACCAGACATATGAATATAAAAATGTAGATTCTAGAAATGGAAGTGTAAAAATAAAAAATATAAAGTTAAAAGCCTAGGAGAATGAGAACAGAACAATCTGTCAGCAGCTTTCTCAGTAGACTAAGGATTAATTGTTAACAGTTAAACTCAGATTTACAACCCATAGCTCTATTTACAAGGCCAAAGCATCTCTCTGCAATCTGAGAGCTAGCCCACGAATATGAGCTAGGCCAACTCTTAGGAAATAGATCTATGGCCTCTGGGTTACACATTATCCCTGCTATGTGAAACTGGCAGCATCAAAAGGGACAGCACAGGGCTCCAGTAAACACCACCTGGAAGCACCAAGGAAGGCAATAGGTTAAGCACAAACATTAGTTTAATTAAAAAATAAAGATTGTAAAGTAAGACAATCTGTATCTGCGTTTTACCTTGAGATTTACGAGAAGCTTTTTGCTATCTTCTAAGTTCCCAGCCTAAAAATCAATTATTCTGATTTATTAACCTGATAGCAGTCCCTTTTTCTGACTAATTGCTACAAACATCTGTTTCCTCGCAATTAGTGATTTTCGCTGTGATTTCCCTGGAGCATATTTCCTAATAACTGCCTAGTTGCTCATTGACCTTAGAACCCACTCCGTTCTTCCCATTACCCTATATCTACCCTGTTTACTCCCCTAATAAACAAGACTTGATCAGAAGCCCGTCTTGTCTCCATCCCTTGTATCTCTTGTCCCTTTCAATTCTCACTCCTTTGCTTAGGGTCTCCTTTGAGTGACCCATGGGTTGGTGCAAGAGTGTAAAAATTCCTTTGTTCAGACCTACTGCTTGGTGTCCATACTATAAAAAGGTGAGTTCAGAAACCAGCCTTTTGCCACAGTGTCAGAAGCCCAGACTCTGCCTGTGGTCTCAGTTAGCTAATAAGCTTCTGTGCCCCGCGGAGTTTTTCTTTTTCTTTTTATATTCTTTTTTTAATTAATTAATTTATTTATTGAAGATTTCTGTCTCTTCCCTGCCACTGCTTCCCATTTCCCTCCCCCTCCCCCAATCAAGTCCCCCTCCCTCGTCAGCCCAAAGAGCAATCAGGGTTCCCTGCCCTGTGGGAAGTCCAAGGACCACCCACCTCCATCCAGGTCTACTAAGGTGAGCATCCAAACTGCCTAGGCTCCCACAAAACAAATAGGTGCAGTAGGTTCATTGCCATTGTTCTTGGGGTCTCAGTAGTCCTCATTGTCAGCTATGTTCAGTGAGACCTGTTTTAACCCAGGCTTTTTCAGACCCAGGCCAGCTGGCCTTGGTGAGTTCCCGATAGGACATCCCCATTGT